CTCGTCCTTCTCCTGCTGCCTCCTCTCGCCGCCTCGTCCTGGCCCCGAGCCTGGGGGGCTGCTGCACCCAGCGGTGGGTATGGCCCCGGTGCCCTTTGCATTGCCTGGCCTGCGGGGCCCTGCAAAGGAAAGAAAGGACGCTCGGGTCCGTGCGCTCCAGACACGTCCCGGCTCGGCCTTTCCGCACCTCCCTGCCCGCCCTCTCCCTTTTTCATTCTCAGACCCCACTTATTCCACTGCACTTTTCGAAGTTCATTTGCGTTGCATTCACCAAAACCCCATTCCGATCCCTGTCGGTTCCACGGGAAGGTGTCCAGTGGGTGCTGTGCCCCTCTGTGCCCCTCGGCTGAGGGGAGCCCGGTGCCTGGGGAATGCAACGAGGGAGCAAGTTGCTTCTTGGGTGGTGGAGCCTGACTGGGAATGCGGAAGGGTGTGATGGCAATAGTGGTAATGGGTTGTTTCCTCAAAGTCCCCTCTGGGTGTATTCCCTGCTGCTGGACTGAAAGTGGGGAAGAGAAACTTTGGAGATAGAAACCGTAGGTTTGTAATTTCTCAAAATGCTTGTCATTATCATGAACAATTCAGATAATATAATGTTCAATACAATCGGAAATCAGTGGAAGCAGAAAGATGGCCTTGGCCGGAGCATAAGAAGGAATTGGAAAGCTGCCAGCGCCTGCATCCCTCTATGGCAAAGGAGTTTTGCTCATCTCAAAGTTAGAAGAAAAGGGAATTGTCCTTTTTGTTAAACAAGTCAGTTCACATGAACTCAGCTCTAGAGTTAACTGAGGAGCATCCTTGGCTCTTAGATGGGAAACTCGAGTCAGAGTCCCTTTGAGCTTCTGTGGACTCAGAGAAGGGGCACAGCCCGTCCCCCCACCTCCCCATCCCTAGAAGTCTAGATTTGAGACTGGTTAGAACTATACATACAAAACATAAAGCAAAATCAACAGCACATTGTTGTATAAGCCTTATTGGTTGTGAAACTTATCCAGGCCACTTCACTGTTGCCATAACTTGCTTTCCTCTGTGTCCACTTCTCACGTGCTTATCAATAGGAAACTTTATTTTTGCCATTAATGGAAAAAATGCACTGTGGTACTTATGAATTTATAGGATATATATATATATATATATATATATGAGTGTGTGTGTGTGTTTGTGTATGTTTCTGCCTCCTGCCCCCTTCTCCCCAACCAGCTCCGCTGTGGAATGAAACTACAGAAAAAAAATTGGGAGTCCTGGCAGATGAAGACAACACATTGCAATGGAATAGCAGCAGTAACACCAGTCACAGCGGAGTCACGCAGAAAGAGATCACACTGCCTTCAAGACTGGTCTATTACATCAACCAAGACTCCGAAAGCCCTTACCATGTTCTTGACACAAAGGCAAGGCACCAGCAAAAGCATAACAAGGTAGGCAGGGCGCTGGGTATGCAAAAGTAGCTGCCGCAAGGAGCTAACTTTGATTTGATGTTCTGCCAGAATCTGATTTCGCACATTTTACTGAAGCGTTTTATTAGGCAATCAATTACTATCACGATAGGGCAGAAACTGGAGGGAATTCACCTGGGCTGCCCTGGAAGAGGATTGCTCTTTCTCTTCTCTGACTCTAAACTGGAATTGGAATTTTCTCAATGGCCTCATAAGTGTAGCAGCTGACATGTGGTCCCTGTATCTCTCAGGCGCATTGGACACTGAACAGTAGTAAAGTGACTGTGTTTATGATCCTGACTTACAAGTGTGAGGCTTCATGTAAGGGTGCAGCATTCTCCCTCCCATGATGACAATTGCTTTACATTCTGGACACAGAAGGTTGTAAGATGAGGCTGTTCGGCTACAGACTCACATAGAAATTGAATATTTAAATTTAAGCAACTTCTCTCTTTCTCTTTAATGAATCAATAGGAAAAAATACTTTGTTTTATATTTTCAGTAGGTAAAGACATTGACATTTAAAAAGACTATGGTGACTATAAACAAACCATTTGTGCAGTGTAGCGACCAGTTTTGGTCAGTATAATCCTGTAGACTTTGTCTGCATTCAGTCTAAGTGGTTGCTTTAACTTTTGTTCAGGTTGGTTCAGAGAGTGGCCCTGAAGGTGGGGAAGGTAGAGGTGCTTGACATCCAAAGACCTTAAGGGACTTTTCCCCTTGCATACTATTTACTCGAGTTCATGATATTTTGGACCCCAACAGATTAACACATTGGGTTATCAGTGCCTTTGCTCTTTATCAGGAGCAAAAAATTGAGTCGGTATGTCAAATACTTTCCTTTGGATTATCTCTGTTTAGTTGAAAGGAACAGTAACTATCTAAACATCCAGAACTTTAGAAAAGTATCTGTGGTTTATATTATGGTTTTTATTAATTTTCTAAAATAGAGGGAAATGGTAACTATTTATCACATGGGGAGTTAGAAATGTAAGGCGTTGAAGGGAACTGTCCAAAGATTGTAAAACAGCTCATATAAAAATTCAAAAGGCCTGAATATTTAAGTTTTACAGGTCAGGTTTCTGAGAAAATGCGTCCTTCAGACCGGTTATTATTGGAGAAGTTAATTTTGTTTCTCAAGATTATGAAGTCGCTGCTACCCACCTCAGCTGAGATGAACGGGTCTCTGATCTTGCAGTCCTCTTCCCATCCGTTCCTATGTCACTGAAAGGGTTGATTCCTGCATCACGTCTACCCATTTGTCTTGTTCATAGGAGTGGGTGGTGTCTTCACAGTAGAAGAGTCCAGCGCCGTCTCCATGAAGGCTTTGAGGCCCATTTTATGGCTTTCCTAATGAAAGAGACCTTCTATGGTTAAGTGGCTAGTTCTCAAACTCCAGTGTCTTTGCATAAGATATTGGAGGAAGAAATAAAAGCTGCCTCAAAGGCTATTTTAAAGAATGCCCAAGCCCTCCTGAGCTGAGACTTGAAAGCAATTCCAGTGGAACTTCTTTGTAACGCAGGTGTTGGAGGCTATGAGTAATGCCTGTCTTATAGTCTAACTTGGTGTGGCTGCTTTGTTGGTAGTGGATGGTTTGACTACAATCTGTCTGAATTTCTATGATAATAGGTTTGTTAAAACTTCACCCACCACTCATGTTGAAGAATAGATTTTTCACTGTGCAACTCATACTTGCTGTTGGAATGGTTCTACCTCTCCACTTCTATTCCCCAGGATAGTTGGGCTTCTTTTATCTTAAAAAGATGTTTACAGAGAAATTATATTTGAAAGTACTTTTCTTCTTTTTTTAAAATTAGTTTAATTCAATAAACATTTGTTGCATGTTTCTGTGTGCAAGGTACTATGCCATAGATTCAGAGATAAGAGGTAAAGGGTTCCAGGAGGAATAAGACATAGTATGTTTTCCAGGAGACACAAAAATGAGATGAGCAACATTCTAAAAAGTGCTCCTATATAGTTATAAACTGTTCTTCTTAAGTGGCACATTCCCTGAAGTTTCCCTTTGTGTTCTGTGATTTTACTTTTACTTCTGTTTTTAAGCATCTCTAGAATTAGTTGACAAGAAGAGTTTCTAATGCTTTCTGCTTATATCTTGGCGACTTGCCTAATAATAGTGATGATAGAACTTGTTAGTTTCACTACTTTACAAATACTCCAGTAAGAGAAGAAGTACAGAATTTCACCATTTTTGATTTTATAAGTTTTGATTTTAATATCTCTATGGCATGTACCTTTTTTCCTTCCCTGATTTCATTGCACTCAAGCACATTTTAATGAATGTCTGAGAAATGCTGAATCACTGTGCTCTTCTCCTGGATTCTCATAATTGGGGGTAGAGGTGGAGAGGTAAAGTCCTAGATATAGGTTGCAAGGCAGAGCTCTGTATTTATTTCATAAATATTGAGTGTTCATCCAGCCTTATTACTTTGCAGTTGTGAAAGTTAAAATGTTTAACTCTTTCAAAATTGGTGAGTTCAAGAGGAGATGGTACAAAGCAAGTACAAAACACCTCTATATTACCAGTGTTTTTGAAAACCTTAAGGTTTTCCTTGTGGAATTGTTAATGGCAAATATTAGAGTTAAACGTCGGTTCTTGAGTTTGGCTAAGAAAGAATTCAGAGCAAAGAACTCTGATGCAAGAGAAAGTTTATTTAGAGTCACAGAGGTTGAAGAAGGGAGCCAGCTGGGCTGTATGGACTTAGGAAATAAGTTACAGAGGCAAAAGAAAAGTCACAGAGGTTGAAGAAAGGAGCCAGCTGGGCTGTATGGACTTAGGAAACAAGTTACGGAGGCAAAAGAAGGGCCCTTGGAACTTGGTAGAAAGAAAGCAAAGGTACCTGCCTGAGAAAGAAAGTGTGGACGTGTGTGTGTGTGTGTGTGTGTGTGTGTGTGAAAAAGAGAGAGAAAGAGCACACAAGCGCACCCTGTGCTCCTCATCTTTAGGATTTTTATTTGTTTTGCAAAGGCAAAAATTTTAGGTGAGGTCTCCGGAGGATCTCAATAGAATGTTTATTAGTCTTCCAATTGTGTCCTTTCAGGGTCATGGTTTCTACGGATTGGTGGACACTAGGGTCATGGTATCTACTGATTGGTCGACACTAGGGTAGAGGGTCATTAGTCATTGTATCTGGTCCTGATGCCAGCCAGCCATGGTGTTGCTTGGTCTGGTTTTGCTGTTCTTCTGGGCTTGGAGCTAAAACACAGTTGAGGCCTAGATATTATCTCTAGTTTGACCAGAACTCTGTCTCTGTGGTCAATAGACCCAAGGTTTTATTCCTAAGATTATTTGATGCTGATTAGAACCTCATTGTCCTAATGCTTAATGCTTAAGGGAGTGGTCATGCAAGGACTTGTATGCAAGTTGTATGAGGTTGTTCTCTGGTCCCTTGTTCCTCCTTTCAGGGAGTCTAAACTGGATGACTAGCATCATACTAGGGGAGAAAAAGTCACCCTGAGGGTCAGGTTCCAGCCTATAATAGTTGTTTTCTCAGTGTTGCCTGTTGCTAGGTACCCAGGACTTTCTGCCCTGGTGACATTTTGTATCTGGCCTGTTGTTCCTGTTCTGCTCATGCCTGTCTAACTGCCTATTCTATCAGAATCTTTTAAAAAAATGTGTTTTTATTGATTTCAGAGAGAGGAAGAAAGAGGGAGAGAGAGATAGAAACATCAGTGATGAGAGAGAATCATTGTTTGGCTGCCTCCTGCACACTCCCCTACTGGGGATCGAGCCTACAACCCGGGCATGTACCCTGTCTGGGAATTGAATCCTGACCTCCTGGTTCATGGGTCAATGCTCAACCACTGAGCAATACTGGCTAGGCTATATCAAAATCTTTTTATCTCCAAATAGGGTGATAGATGGCCTATTTATCCAAAGTACTCCATTTTTGAGAATGAAAGAGGGCACACTTAATAATTATTCCGGAACATAGGCATAAACCAGGATGGTCCATATCAGAGGGGGAATGTGGTCACCTCCGTTCTAAGTAGTTACTGCTTTTTGGTGCTTATTCAAATTCAAGTTTCTTCATAGTTTATTTTCTTTTCTGGTGATTTATTGTAAATTTTTCTTACTAGCTAAGATGTCAGTTTACCATGTAGAAGTATTAGGGTCTGCAATGGAAGAATTTAGTTTTACTTTTTTACCAAGACTTGTGTTCTTCATTTGTAGATGCTTTTATGAGCATTAACATAATTTTTGTGGTTACTAAACATAAGCATTTTATTAACCACCAATGCAATATATGAATAAAATGGAGCATACATTTAAAAAGAGAGAAAAACTATTTAGATTCACTCACTCATTCATTTAATCTGAGCTAAATTTTTGAGGTCTGTTCCTAAGAAAGTTAATTAATCTTTTGGGGAGGAAAAATAATTTTTTTCTCTACCCTACTAAGTACTTGTCTGAGACACACACTGTGTTAAAAGTAAGGTTAACAGGAGAACAACAAACAGAAAGTTAAAGCATGTTACATAGGAGAGGGTCAGGAAAACTGAGTAACTCTTAAAAACGGCCCAGGCCATCACCTTAAATAACATCTCCTGCTAAAGACACGATCTTGGAGGTGGGGAACCAGTTGTGGGAGGGTACAGGGAAAGCACAATAAACAAGGTTAAGGTTGTTATGCAGATTTAAGTCTCTGCCTTCTCCATTGATAAAAGTGTCTCAAAATTTTAGTCACCCTCCTCTTCCTGCTACATAGAGGGAGACAGGGGTGGTATATTCTGCTCCTGTTCAAACCTTTCCTGAAACTTTCCGTTAGTCAAAAATGATTGGTCCTATATCCTACTGTCTTAAGATTCTTTTCTCTTCCATGTAAGAAGGGATTCATGAGGTACACTGTGCATACATAACAGAGGGTCTGGGGACGATGAATATCATCTCTTTTGACTCTAGTTAGCCTGTTTATGCTCAGTCTTTTGTTACTTAATCTGCTGTGCTGCAGAGACAGAGCTGG